CCCACCTCCGGCATATGGGGCTGGCACCTTAGTCCTTTGAGCCACTGATTTTTCTTAAAATGTACGTCCATGTTTTCGGTCCCCTCTGTGTGTGTCTATAACATGACCTATGGCCAGTCTCTGACCTCCTTAATGTGCGGCCACCAAGGAGTGAGCTGGCCGGGTCCCCTGCGGTCCCATGTGTGATAGGCCTGAGATGAGCTCTCGTCCTGGGATTTTCATGAACGTGGCTCTGATCCTTCCCAACCTTGTGTAGGGACAAAGCTGGCGGCTACGGGATCCAGGCTCTGGGCGGGATGCTGGTGGAGTACGTCCGCGGGGACTTCCTCAATGTCGTGGGCTTCCCGCTGAACCACTTCTGCAAGAAGCTGGTGGAGCTGTACTACCCTCCCCGCCAGGGGGACCTGCAGAGGGCCAGGCAGGACTCTATCCCACCCGTGGACACCTTTGAGAATCCCAGAGACGTGGACGGTGCCGGCTGCATGCCTGTGCAGAGGACGGCGGGCAGCAGCAAGGACAGGGCAGAGGCTGGCACTGACCACCAGGCTGGGGGCACCCTCGACACAGACTGCAACAGGATGGTGGGGCCTCTGCCCCCTTTCCCGGCCAGTCTTCTAGAACTGGTAGATGGCTTCAAAGTATCAAAGGTACCCATGTCAGTCCCTGGGGCCACCAAAGCAAATGGCCAAAACCTGGTCACCTGAAAAAATAGGAACTCACCCTCCCCCAGCCCTGGAGCCCAGGAGTCTGAGGTGCATGTGTCTCCAGGCTGCTCCTTCCACAGACCATGGGGGAGGCTCCTTCTTGCCTCTCCCAGCTCCTGGGGGCTCCAGGCATCCCTGGGCTTGTGGCCACATCACTCCAGTCTCTGCCTCTGTCTCCACGTGGCTTCTCCTCTGTGTCTGTGTCTCCTCTGCTGTCTCTTAGGAGGACACCTGTCACTGGGTTTAGGGCCCTCCCTAATCCAGGATGGCCTCATCTCCAGATCCTTCACTAATCACATGTGCAGTTGCAATAGGGCCCCATTTTGAGAACCCACAGTTGTATTTTGGGGGGGTGACATTAGTTCATGACAACATCTTGGGCTGGCTGATTATCTGACTTCCCTAAGTGGCCTGGCACAGAGAAAGAGATTCTGGTAATACGTTCCCATTAGCCAGTGTGCTGCCTACCCTGGGGCCATTGGGAACACAGCCAGTGGCTGGCCAGAAAGGGGCCCAGTATGTTTCTGAGGGTACAGAGGGCACCGATCTGTGCAGCATGTGGCCAGGCTGCAGTGCTGATGCCGCGTAACCTCAGGGTACCCTGAAGCCTGCTGGCTGGACACAGGTGGACTTTGGCTCCAGTCATCACCTGCCCTAGGGTCAGGGTTTGTCTCCTTCTGTCCTGTGACCTCATGACCTCAGGGCAGCCATTGCAGCAAGAGGGTGGCCAGGGCAGAGCAGGAACCAGCAGGCCCAACTCAGAGTCCCCAGTGTCTGTTCCCAGCTGGCCGCAGTGGCTAAGTTCATCCTGTGTGGTCACAGCTATGGGCAGCTGGTCACTGACACGTACCTATGTGGTCACAGGTGTGGGCAGCCTGGGCAGCCCAGGGAATGGATTGTGCAGAAGGCTGTCCATTTGGGCAGGCGCTGCCTTCTCTGCCCTGGAGTCGGTACCTACCCAGGCACTCAAGCTCTCCCCCTCCCTTCCCCCTGCAAGTCACCATGTGAGTCTCACTAACCCCACATGTGATGCATAGGCCCTGTTCACCGTGTGAGTCTCACTGCCCCCACGTGTGAGGCACAGGCCCTGTTCACCGTGTGGGTCTCACTGCCCCCACGTGTGAGGCACAGGCCCTGTTCACCGTGTGGG